TTAACAGGCAACATAACAAGAACTTTTCCAACAACTCTGCCTCAGCACCACTCCTGCCTCAGTGTGGGGGGGGGGGGAGAGGTAACGAAAAGATAAAAAAATAAGAAAGATAAAATAGCTTCAGCATCACTTGGAGATGAGAGCTGACCAACTCTCCCATCACAAAGATTCTCTCTCAGCCTCGCTCCTGCTGCAACATGGTAAACTCTACACTTTTCTTACAGTATACAGGTAAACTCTCACCTTTTTTACTGTAAATAAAATTGTGAACTCGTAGTACTGTTTACCGTAAAGAGATAAACGCTAGTGTTTACCTTTACCTGTCAATACCAGCGAGAGCATTGTTCCTTGTTTACCTGTCTCCTCACCATCCTCTCAGTCCTTGTACTGAGCAACTTGTACAAGCTCCTTGTACAAGCAGACAATGGGGACATCCCCGGGAGGCTAAAACACTTTGAATGCCCTGGGACATATACCCTCAGGGAGCCTAGGACACTCATAAGACCCCTTAAAAACCACCTTGGAGCCTTTGGAGCCCCCCTAAGGTCCCCTGGGACACCCCCAGGAGGAGGCTAGGACACCTCTGGAGCTGCTGGGACACCTCTGGAGCTGCTGGGACACCTCTGGAGCTGCTGGGACACCTCTGGCGCTGCTGGGACACCTGTGGAGCTGCTGCGACACCTCTGGAGCTGCTGGGACACCTCTGGATCTGCTGGGACACCTCTGGAGCTGCTGCGACACCTCTGGAGCTGCTGGGACACCTCTGGCGCTGCTGGGACACCTCTGGCGCTGCTGGGACACCTCTGGAGCTGCTGGGACACCTCTTGAGCTGCTGGGACACCTCTTGAGCTGCTGGGACACCTCTGGCGCTGCTGGGACACCTCTGGCGCTGCTGGGACACCTCTGGAGCTGCTGGGACATCTCTAGAGCTGCTGGGACACCTCTGGAGCTGCTGGGACACCTCTGGCGCTGCTGGGACACCTCTGGAGCTGCTGGGACACCTCTGGAGCTGCTGGGACATTTCTGGAGCTGCTGGGACACCTCTGGCGCTGCTGGGACACCTCTGGCGCTGCTGGGACACCTCTGGAGCTGCTGGGACACCTCTGGAGCTGCTGGGACACCTCTGGAGCTGCTGGGACACCTCTGGAGCTGCTGGGACACATCTGGCGCTGCTGGGACACCTCTGGAGCTGCTGGGACACCTCTGGAGCTGCTGGGACACCTCTGGAGCTGCTGGGACACCTCTGGAGCTGTTGGGACACCTCTGGAGCTGCTGGGACACCTCTGGAGCTGCTGGGACACCTCTGGAGCTGTTGGGACACACCATCACTCAATCCCAGCACAGCAGCCTAGACGCGAGATGCGGAAGAGATTTAACACTTGAGGGAGACTTAAGGGCATCTTAAGAGGCGTGTATGTTTATACTTGAAGTGAGAGGTGACGTGTAGGTAAGGCTCGGGGGCCCTAGCAAGCACACACAACGTAACCTCTACTTCAGCCACAACGTTATTTCGACGTTAAAAATAACGTCCACCAGTGGACACACTATCAATATGTAACGCTAATTTAACGTCGATTTAACGATATCAGAGCTCGCTCAACGTGCACAACGTTGATTAAGAATAAGCTTAAACGTTATTCTTGGATATTGTGCACAGTTATGGTGTGTGTTTGTTTTGAAATTCTTCGAGCAAAACAAAAATAAACACTAATAAACACAATAAACATTGCAACTCTCCAGTATCGTCGCCATTTTTTTTTTTTTGCCATGTCGTCGGCAACTTACAAATCAACTAAACACTAAGAGTTTAGTTAAGAGTTAAGACATAAAGCTCAGAGTGCAGCTAAAATAGCTATGGGCTTTATTGTAGTATTAGAAACAAAACTAATAAGATGTTACAAAATCCTCCTTGATGCCCCTTAAGAGGTCAACACCAGGTGGACATTGAGGCAACATGGGTCAACCAGTACATCAAGAGGGAGACGTCAGCAGGAGACATCAGCAACAGGAGACGTCAGCAACAGGAGACATCAGCAACAGGAGACAAACATTGCAACAACAGAAAAGACGTCAGCTACGGGAAACACTTTGCAAAACAAGACATATATTCGTGTCAGCAAAATCGTTTACATATGCAGCAGATATATACAATGCTGCAGGTACATACAAATACAATGCTGCAGGTATATATATGCATAATGCTGCAGGTATGCACACACAAAATGCAAGAGGTATACACACATAATGTTGCAGGTGAATACATATACATAATGCAGTAGGACTATGCATATACAATACAGCCGAGGACGTAGACCACTATTGAAACAATCCATGATTGCCTGGATATGGATCAATATCCACGATTGGATATTGATAGGGCATTGATGTACTCTATCAATGTCCTCCTTTTATTACACTCTTTCATCCATTCATGCTTCCTGTTATTCTCTCTCTCTCTCTCTCTCTCTCTCTCTCTCTCTCTCTCTCTCTCTCTCTCTCTCTCTCTCTCTCTCTCTCTCTCTCTCTCTCTCTCTCTCTCTCTCTCTCTCTCTCTCTCTCTCTCTCTTCAGAAGAGTGGTTTTAAAGTCCAGGGATTAATTTCAGCATTCTTCTACAAGCTCTCTGACTGTCTGCCTTGCATCCTCTGTCAGTCTTGTGGGCAAGGTGGATAGGATGCCATGTCCTCTCCCCCACCACCTCTGATCTTCCCTACGTCTGTCCCTCCTTACCTCTGGGAGTCCCTACCTACCTGCCTCCCCCTTGTGACAGGATCTCTTCCCCACCACCACCACTGACCTTCCCCTGCCTCCCCCAATCTCAAAAAGCTTTGCCCAGTTTTCAAATGTTCACCTTTTATCTTCCTCGTTCCTGTCTCCCAAACGTGTTTACCTTCCCATCACTTTTCTCCTTGACACCGCCTCTCTGTTAGCTCCATCCTCCCTTCCCCCACCTCCCCCCCCTCCATCCTCCCTCTCGTTACATCACCAACAGCCACGTTGTTCAAATATCGAGAATCGAATGAGCTCCATCCTCGCCCGGGCGGCAGACAATGAAGCCATCCAGGCTGCATAAACTTGAAGTATCGGAGATGGCCATTACTTGTTACAGACACGCTCCCTCTCCCCCCCCCCCTCTCCCTCCAACCCCACGCTCGTTACCTTCTCACCAACACTGGCACTAACGACCCACTAAGCCATCAGACCAATATCGGCCAGTAGGCCTGTGGGAGTCGTGGTTCAGTTGTTCTACCGCTCCTCTGACCGGCTGTTCCAAAGCTAGCGGATCGCTTACCTGGTTGATACCTGGTTGATGGGGTTCTGGGAGTTCTTCTACTCCCCAAGCCCGGCCCGAGGCCAGGCTCCACTTGTGAGAGTTTGGTCCACCAGGCTGTTGCTTGGAGCGGCCCGCAGGCCCACATACCCACCACAGCCCGGTTGGTCCGGCACTCCTTGGAGGAATAAATCTAGTTTCCTCTTGAAAATGTCCACGGTTGTTCCGGCAATATTTCTTATGCTTGCTGGGAGGACGTTGAACAACCGCGGACCTCTGATGTTTATACAGTGTTCTCTGATTGTGCCTATGGCACTTCTGCTCTTCATTGGTTCTATTCTACATTTTCTTCCATGTCGCTCACTCCAGTACGTTGTTATTTTACTGTGTAGATTTGGTACTTGGCCCTCCAGTATCTTCCAGGTGTATATTATTTGATATCTCTCTCGTCTTCTTTCTAGTGAGTACATTTGGAGGGCTTTGAGACGATCCCAATAATTTAGGTGCTTTATTGCATCTATGCGTGCCGTATATGTTCTCTGTATTCCCTCTATTTCAGCAATCTCTCCTACTCTGAAGGGGGAAGTGAGTACTGAGCAGTACTCAAGACGGGACAACACAAGTGACTTGAAGAGTACAACCATTGTGATGGGATCCCTGGATTTGAAAGTTCTCGTAATCCATCCTATCATTTTTCTGGCTGTCGCAATATTTGCTTGGTTATGCTCCTTAAACGTTAGGTCGTCAGACATTATTATTCCCAAATCCTTTACATGCTGTTTTCCTACTATGGGTACATTTGATTGTGTTTTGTACTCTGTATTATGTTTAAGGTCCTCATTTTTACCGTACCTGAGTACCTGGAATTTATCACTGTTAAACATCATGTTATTTTCTGATGCCCAGTCGAAAACTTTGTTAATATCAGCTTGAAGTTTTTCAATGTCCTCAGCCGAGGTAATTTTCATACTGATTTTTGTGTCATCTGCAAAGGATGATACGAAGCTGTGACTTGTATTTTTGTCAAGAGGTGCTTGTTGCACCTCTTAAAAGATCTTCCCACCTGTGTACTTTCCAATACTGTGTACTGTGTACTTCCATCTTCCCAATATGGTGGCGTGGCAGCACGGAGCCCCCTCCACGCCGGCATTACGGTGAACGGAGACCGTTGGATGGGAATTCACCTGTCATTTGTATCATGACTTTGAGAGCAGAACAATGACAGCTGAAGGAGGGTGGTTGGCTTGCAGACGCTTCGAAAGAGTAAGGTGGCTGTGAGATTTGAGGAGACGCTGGGACAAGTTGTACCTTGGATATCGAGGACAAACGTTCCGCGAGCGCTATGTCATGGGTTCGTATCCTGGCCGGGGAGGATTTACTGGGCGCAATTCCTTAACTGTAGCCTCTGTTTAACGCAACAGTAAAATGTGTACTTGGATGAAAAAACGATTCTTCGCGGCAGGGGATCGTATTCCAGGGACCTGCCCGAAACGCTACGCGTACTAGTGGCTCTACAAGAATGTAACAACTCTTGTATATATCTCAAAAAAAAAAAAAAACACATGAGTGAAAGCAAAAATGTTTTGCTCATGCAAGAGGCGGATCAGCCTTGTGCAAGGTCAGGCTGCCTGAGTGACCAATTGGATCATTAACACATGCGCGAACGTCAGAAATTATCCGGGGGAACTAAAACAGAACATTGATATGATCTTATGAAGGACAGCGCCACTATGTTAAAAGTTAGTGAAGGAATTGAGCACGTGACTGAGGAGGAAATTGACATTAAACCTAAAAGACCTAAGGTCAGATTCACGAAGCAGTTACGCAAGCACTTACGAACGTGTCCATCTTTCCTCTCAATCTCTGATGGCTTTGGTTACATTTATTAACCAGTTTACAAGCACGGAAACTTGTCAATCAACTGTTGTTATTGTTATAAACAGCCTCCTGGTGCTTCGGAGCTCATTAACTATTTAATCATTGTAAACAAAGCCCGCAAAGATTGAGTAAAGATGTACAGGTTCGTAAGTGCTTGCGTAACTGCTTCGTGAATCTGGCCTCCGGTGTTGCCAGCCTTGCATGGACGAGTCTCCCAGCAGCCTGTCAGTGGGGCAGTTTTTAAAGTTGAAAAGTATATGTGTGGTGGTGGGGGGGGGGGGAGGCAGGGGGCGGCTGAACTCACCTAATTGTACTCACCTAATTGTGCTTGCGGGGGTTGAGCTTTGGCTCTTTGGTCCCGCCTCTCAACTGTCAATCAACTGGTGACAGTTGATACGGACCAGAGTGTAGCAGCTGGAGAGAACATTAACTTAAAATTAGGAAAGTTGACTGTGGAGACTGTTTGTACTGGCAGTCTGTCACTACAGGGGAGGGGGAGGGGGATACTCGCTCCATGAACGCACCTCCCCCCCCCCCAAGAAACTAACTTTACTGATGAGTGAGATCATATGATGGTACAATATCACAAATTATAGGTTCTTATTGTGCAGGAACACAATATAAAAATGTTGTTGCACCCGAACCTAACCTAACCGAGGATGAACGAATAGAAAATGGGACATCACGTCAATTGTGCGAGCCGCTATGATTTTTAGTAGGGCAGTTTTTGGTCTTAGGGGATTACTACGTCGAAACGCGACGTTCTGCTCAAGGGGCCGGGGCAGTTTTTTTTTTGTTGTGGTAGTCATAGTCAAGTTTTAATGTGGCTGTCAACGGTCAATCCCGTCAAGTGAGAGGAGCCTCGACCTTGACCCGTGTAAGCATAGTAGTCAGCGATTGCAATGAAATTACAAAGCTGTCAATCACAACGCCATTCTGATGCAACTTGTCCTCATGCTTGGCTCGTGAATGCGGCGGCACCCCCCCCCCCCCCAAAGACGCATTCATCAATATTAACGCACTGCGTACTCATAATTGGTATTTTGTTCAAATATAAGTTAATATTACTGTATATTAGAATGTGTTGAATAGGTAGGCCTAATTTAGGTTAAGATAGTTAGGCTTTGTTAGCAATTACTGGTGCAATTACAGCAATTATCACAATCGACTTGAGAATGGTCCAGGACGGACCGAAACGTCGTCGTCCCTTTACCTTCTAGTGTGTGGTCTGGTCAACAATTACTGGTATTTGCAGTAAGTGAATTCGAGTACATTTGGAGAGGTGGGATTCGAACAGAGGGCGTGAGCGAAGCGCTGCCAGTTCCCCAACACGTTATCAGTAACGAGGCGCCCTTCACGTGTTCTTTTCATTCATGTTCTTTGTTCCTCTCTCATTCATGAACCTGTTCTTTGCTGTTCTCCGTGGTGTAGTGGTAAGACACTCGCCTGGCGTTCCGCGAGCGCTATGTCATGGGTTCGTATCCTGGCCGGGGAGGATTTACTGGGCGCAATTCCTTAACTGTAGCCTCTGTTTAACTCAACAGTAAAATGTGTACTTGGATGAAAAAACGATTCTTCGAGGCAGGGGATCGTATTCCAGGGACCGTAGGATTAAGGACTTGCCCGAAACGCTACGCGTACTAGTGGCTCTACAAGAATGTAACAACTCTTGTATATATCTCAAAAAAATAAACGACGTTTGGCGGCTGAGTTAACGAGCATTTACCCTTTGTTGATGAGGCCGGGAGGCCATATTGGTCATTAATTAAAATAAACATATTTAACAATACCAACAGTTGGGTGGGAAGTTTTCATGCTTGTAAACTGTTTCATAAATGTAACCAAAGCCGGTAAGGGAGCCGGTCGGCCGAGCGGACAGCACACTGGACTTGTGATCCTGTGGTCCTGGGTTCGATCCCAGGCGCCGGCGAGAAACAATGGGCAGAGTTTCTTTCACCCTATGCCCCTGTTACCTAGCAGTAAAATAGGTACCTGGGTGTTAGTCAGCTGTCACGGGCTGCTTCCTGGGGGTGGAGGCCTGGTCGAGGACCGGGCCGCGGGGACATTAAAGCCCCGAAATCATCTCAAGATAAGAAAGCCGTCAAAGATTGAGGAAAGATGTTCACTCTCCACACCACTTCGTAACCCGGCTATACGGACACCCGGAACATGGAATAACGACTTCCGACAACACATTACCGCTCAGAGAGACATAACCGGCCGGTCAATCTCACTCCGGTTAAGGACCGGCGCCGCGGGCCGGTGAAGAGCGCTCAGGTAACCGAATACGCACTTAAGAGGCCGTATAGCGCTCTCGACTGTCTTGTCCTCAACCGTACCCCCCCCCCCCCCCCGGGGCCGGATACGCGAGCAGAACACCTTGCTAGGGAATGGGGGCCCCCCAGCCTGACAGCATGGCACCCCCAGCCTGACAGCATGGGACCCCCAGCCTGACAGCATGGCACCCCCAGCCTGACAGCATGGGACCCGTCAGGTGTCAGTTTAGTGAAACAGACGGGTTAAGACCTGCTCATAACGGGTACTTAAGGTACCCTCTTGTGGGTGTCACGGTCCTTCGACCACTCGCCCTCGCAGGAGTCTGACAAAGCCATTATCTTGCGGGAGTAGCCAGCACATCCGGGTAGCTTACTGTGTGACAGTGTACTGTGTTCACTCTCACCCTAGTACCCTTGTGACAGTGTACCTTGTGTTTACATTCACCCTAGTACCCTTGTGAGTGTACCTTGTGTTTACACTCACCCTAGTACCCTTGTGACAGTGTACCTTGTGTTTACACTCACCCTAGTACCCTTGTGACAGTGTACCTTGTGTTTACACTCACCCTAGTACCCTTGTGACAGTGTACTGGGTGTTTACACTCACCCTAGTACCCATGTGACAGTGTACTGGGTGTTTACACTCACCCTAGTACCCATGTGACAGTGTACTGGGTGTTTACACTCACCCTAGTACCCTTGTGACAGTGTACTGTGTGTTTACACTCACCCTAGTACCCTTGTGACAGTGTACTGGGTGTTTACACTCACCCTACTACCCTTGTGACAGTGTACCTTGTGTTTACACTCCCCCTAGTACCCGTGACAGTGTACTGGGTGTTTACACTCACCCTACTACCCTTGTGACAGTGTACCTTGTGTTTACACTCCCCCTAGTACCCGTGACAGTGTACTGGGTGTTTACACTCACCCTAGTACCCTTGTGACAGTGTACCTTGTGTTTACACTCCCCCTAGTACCCGTGACAGTGTACTGGGTGTTTACACTCACCCTAGTACCCTTGTGACAGTGTACCTTGTGTTTACACTCCCCCTAGTACCCGTGACAGTGTACTGGGTGTTTACACTCACCCTAGTACCCTTGTGACAGTGTACTGTGTGTTTACACTCACCCTAGTACCCTTGTGACAGTGTACTGGGTGTTTACACTCACCCTACTACCCTTGTGACAGTGTACCTTGTGTTTACACTCCCCCTAGTACCCGTGACAGTGTACTGGGTGTTTACACTCACCCTAGTACCCTTGTGACAGTGTACCTTGTGTTTACACTCCCCCTAGTACCCGTGACAGTGTACTGGGTGTTTACACTCACCCTAGTACCCTTGTGACAGAGTACCTTGTGTTTACACTCCCCCTAGTACCCGTGACAGTGTACTGGGTGTTTACACTCCCCCTAGTACCCTTGTGACAGTGTACCTTGTGTTTACACTCCCCCTAGTACCCGTGACAGTGTACTGGGTGTTTACACTCCCCCTAGTACCCTTGTGACAGTGTACCTTGTGTTTACACTCCCCCTAGTACCCGTGACAGTGTACTGGGTGTTTACACTCACCCTAGTACCCTTGTGACAGTGTACCTTGTGTTTACACTCCCCCTAGTACCCGTGACAGTGTACTGGGTGTTTACACTCACCCTACTACCCTTGTGACAGTGTACCTTGTGTTTACACTCCCCCTAGTACCCGTGACAGTGTACTGGGTGTTTACACTCACCCTAGTACCCTTGTGACAGTGTACCTTGTGTTTACACTCCCCCTAGTACCCGTGACAGTGTACTGGGTGTTTACACTCACCCTAGTACCCTTGTGACAGTGTACCTTGTGTTTACACTCCCCCTAGTACCCGTGACAGTGTACTGGGTGTTTACACTCACCCTACTACCCTTGTGACAGTGTACCTTGTGTTTACACTCCCCCTAGTACCCGTGACAGTGTACTGGGTGTTTACACTCACCCTACTACCCTTGTGACAGTGTACCTTGTGTTTACACTCCCCCTAGTACCCGTGACAGTGTACTGGGTGTCCAGACTCACCATTAGTACGTCTGTGACGAAGAGCTTAATGTCTGCAACATTCTCAATGAGACAAAAATTAAGACGCAACACATCACCTAAATGCAATACTTTAAAATTTGAGTTGCAAAGAAATCGGCCTACTTTACCAGCCTATACGTATCAAAATCTTAGCGACTATGAATGTATTATAGAAAATATTATTTGTCAAATGAAAAAAAAATATATACACACATTTTTAACCAAGAAAACACGAAAAATATTTGTGTCAAAACTTTGCGATCAGTTTGCAATTGGGAAACTTGTCATGCAAATTCAATATTGACCAAAGCGAACGAGAACGCAAGTTATAAATAATGCATCCCTGAATAGGCAATGTGTGTTTGTGTGTTCGAACAGTTGTGTGTGTGTTCGAACAGTTACGTGTGTGTTCGAACACAAGGCGGGCGTTCCATGTGGCTGTTCTCGTGTTCGTCTGACGTTCGTGAGATGGTGAGGTTCAGGGGGCCAGATTCACGAAGCAGTTACGCAAGTACAGGGGCCAGATTCACGAAGCAGTTACGCAAGTACAGGGGGCCAGATTCACGAAGCAGTTACGCAAGCACTTTCGAACGTG